CACACACACACACACACACAGGTATACGTCCATAGAAGCACACACTGCACACGTGTCCATACTGCACAATGTACCTGTTCATATACAAATTCACACCCACTGGTGGCTCATTGCATCTGTCCAGGACCCTGGCTGGCAGCACAGAGCACAGTGGCCCCACGCAGCCCTGGCACGCTGTTACTCTAGCATTGCTCCAGCCATGGAGCTGGGCAGCCTGAGGGAGGGTGCCCACCTGCTGCCCTTCCTCTCGCAGTCCGTGCCCATCATCTCACACTCCCGCTGGCTGCTGAAGCAGGGAGAGCTGCAGCAGATGTCGGGCCCCAAGACCTCTCGCACTCTGCGGACCAAGAAGCTCTTCCGAGAAATTTACCTCTTCCTCTTCAATGACCTGCTGGTGATCTGCCGGCAGATCCCGGGGTGAGCAGGAATGACAGACACATAAGCATGACCAGCCTTGGGTTGGACCATGGCCTGGGGTGGCAGGGCAGGCAGTGGGGCAGAGCTCAGGCTTTGGGATCAGGTTCAACGGTCTGCTCTTGTCCAGCCTCCCTGGACCTCCCCGGGCCTTGGTTTCCTTCCTGTAAACCGGAAGTTTCTTCCCCGGAATGTACAGCACCTGACACCAGTGGGTGCTAAGCAGAGCAGCTGCTCCCCTCTATCCTCTGTGATGGGAGCACTTCTGGTGGGGACCGATGTGCAGTGTAGGCTTCCAAAGGAGGTGAAAAGTGGCTGGACCTGCCAGCCAGCCGGAGAGTTCAGAGACTAACACACACGCCATGCCTCCATTGGCCCTCAGAGACAAGTACCAGGTGTTTGACTCAGCTCCGAGAGGCCTGCTGCGCGTAGAGGAACTGGAGGACCAGGGCCAGACACTGGCCAACGTGTTCATCCTGAGGCTGCTGGAGAATGCAGATGACCGGGAGGCGACCTACATGCTGAAGGCGTCCTCTCAGTGAGTGCCCGGCCCTGTCTGATAAAGCCCACAATGCACTTCTGGGTTGGCCTTCTGTATGCCCTCCTCTGACCACAGGCCCTCTTGCAGGTGGAACAGGGCTCAGTACACAGCAGTGGGAGGCTGGCCTGTCCCCGCACAGCACCTGATCTTCCTGCTTGGGACCCTGCAGGAGGGCCCTTGGTGTAGAAGTGTGGGTGATAGGGTGGTTGCAGGTTCCTGGGTGCATGTGTGCATGTACGTAGGTGCGTGTGTATCCTCCTTAGTGGTTTCAGACTCAGGGCAAGTTCCTCCCTCAGATGGGATGTTTAGAGCCTGTGAGCGGCTAACCAGGGACCAACCGCTGCTCACAGGCTGTGTGGCCTCCAGGCCATCTCTCCCACTCCGTGAGCAGCTAGGACATCTGCCCTGCGGCCAAGAGCTCTCAAGGAACACAAAATAAATGTGGGCGATGTTTTGTGAGCCATGGAGCCCTGACTCTCTGGTGGCCTGCCTGGTCAGCCTCCCTTCTCATCCTGCTGTGCTCAACTGCCTGTCACTGCAGCTCATCAGAGATTGTCCCCAGCTAGACCTAAGGCTGAGATGGAGTGACATTAACCTTTCCTAGCCTTGCCACAGTTAAGACACAGTGTCTTCTGTGGACATGGCCTCAGAGTGTGCTTTAGGGAGCTAGTGAGAGGACTCCCCCTCATTACCTGGCTTTTTTATTGGCGGGGGTAGGGCTGGAATTTGAACTCAGGGCTTCATGCTTGCAAAGCAGACACACTGTTGCTTGAGCCATGTCTCCAGTCCATTTTGCTCTGGTTATTTTGGAGATGGGCTCTTACAAACTGTTTGCATGCTGGCCTCCAACTGCAGTCTTCCCAATCTCAGCCTCCCAAGTAGCTAGGATTACAGGCATAAGCCACTGGCACCCAGCTACTGCTTGGCTTTTAAAAATCACCCCAGGAAGACCTATAGGGGGTCCCCTGTGCTAACCCTGTGCTGGATCCCTGGTGCGGCCTAGAGCCAGGCTCAGAAAGGCTGCAAACTGGGATGCTTAGGCCTCATCCTGGGGGTGTGAGGGGAGGGGTCTGCTTTCTCCGCGGTTGGGGCACTGTCCTCTTCCCTGTGCCAGGAGTGAGATGAAGCGTTGGATGACCTCACTGGCTCCCAACAGGAGGACCAAATTCGTTTCCTTCACTTCCCGGCTGCTGGGTAAGTCCAGGCTGGGAAAGGGACTCTGTGGCCTCTTTGGCTGCCTGCAGGAGGGAGGAGAATGCTTCTGAGCCTGAGGGAGTAGCCTCCGCCAGCCTCCCCTTCATCACGGTATTAGCAGGGAGCTTAGCACCCGCGAGACACTGGCTGCCTGAGTTCTACCAGTCTTAAGTAATAGGTAACATGGGCACCGGGAAGAATTTGGGCCCAAACTCCAGTGTTCTTTTGGGGTTGCAAAGAAATCATATAAGATCCAAAAGAGCCCCAGCCTGGCTGCCTTACCAAGAAGCTGCTACCTTGGCTGTGCCCACATGTCCTAACCGCCAAACCACTTACAGGGCCGTCCAGGAACCAGAGGTCCCTTCCCAATCTAAGCTGAGAGCCACCTTCCAGCTGGGGAATCTATCAGTGTTCTCCTTAGAGCCCCTGGCTAGTGCACTGCTGCCCTCTTTGGAAGGAAACCCTCCTCCCCCTCAGAGGAGCCCTTTCTCAGCTGAGGGGGAAGTTCACATCCTGTTTTAGACTGGGCTCAGCCACACACCTGCCAGCAGCACCATCCCTGCCAGTGCCCCTTGCTGTCCTGGACTTGCCTGGGTGCAGGGCACCAGAACCTGGGGGATGTGACACATCATACCCTCTCCCCTCCCTTCAGACTGCCCTCAGGTCAGTGTGTGCATCCATATGTGGCCCAGCAGCCTGATGAACTGACACTAGAACTGGCCGACATTCTGAACATCCTGGAGAAGACAGAGGATGGTGAGGCCTCCGCAGAGGAGGACAGGGGTCTCAGCCCTGGGTGCTGCAGCAGCCAGCACAGCTGATGGGTGGGCAGGTTTTTGTCCATGGCCCCACCATCTGGCTCCTGTGCCATCCGGGACATTTTACCCAGAGCACAGAGCACCGAGCACAGACCTGGCTTCCCTGGGTCTTTCCCTGGGCCAGGTCTTTTGTGCCTCTGCTTCCCACCCAGCCCCTTTCCTTTCATAGCCAGGCCCAAGTGGTGGTCCCACTTGCAGTGGGAGGGAGCCACGACTAGATCTGGGTCCAAGCATGTAGAGCAACAAACTTCCTGGGAAGCCCTTGACCCCCAGGCTCAGGACCCCTCCCCCCATCCCCCTTTCCTGACCCAGGTCCTGGTGGAAGGCCAGGTGATATCCAGGGAGGCCTTCTCCAGAGAGAAGTGTGGGCCCCGTTCTCACAAGTCCCAGGGCTCTCTTGTCCTCCCCCAAGGACACACAGCCTGATATCTCACCCAGAGGTCACCATCCTCAGGACCCTCAGACCCTGTAAAAACCTCTGGGGGAAGAAGGGGGCCAAGGGCAGGAGAAAAAAGAGGGCCAGGGCACCCTGTGACTCAAGGGATGGCTAGCTCATGGCAGCCACCCTCAGCTGGACACACTGGCCCCCAAGAGGCTGAGACTCTGGGAGAAACTGCCCAAGAAAAGGGTGACCTCACAGTCCCATCTGTAACCAAGTACTCAGTGACTACCCCCACTGGTCCTTGGCTGCCTCTCTCTTTTGGTGGCAGCCCCTGGGGTCTCTTGGACTGGTGTGGGGCAGCCTAGGAGAGTTTGGGAATGGGTTCCAGGTCAGTACAGACCTCAAACCTCATGCAGCCTGGTCCTGTGCCATCCCCAACACTCCCACTTCACCCTGCTTGTAGCAGGCGGGAGTTTGATCAAAACCAATCCAAGAGCGGGAAGGGGTGTGCTGAGAAGCTTCCTGGCTCCTGAGAGTCCCTGATTTCACCGGCCATATACAGGAGTTCTGAGGCCAAGGGGAGGAAGCCCCCGCCCCAGTCCCCGGGCCTGCAAAACCCCTGAGCCCGCTGCCTGCCTCCGCAGGGTGGATCTTTGGTGAACGCCTGCATGACCAGGAGAGAGGCTGGTTCCCCAGCAACATGGCAGAGGAGATCCTGAACCCCAAAATCCGCGCCCAGAACCTCAAGGAATGTTTCCGCGTCCACAAGATGGACGAGCCCCAGCGCAGCCAGAGCAAGGACCGCAGGAGGCTGGGCAGCCGGAATCGGCAGTGACCCCAGCTCAGGTGCCAGCCTGGAGGATGGACGCGGGTGGAGGAGCAGGCTCAGTGGGGACTCCGACCCACACTGAGTGCTCTGGGGAAGGACAGGTGGGCACCCCATCCCCTCAGGCAGCTGAGTGACTCGCAAAGACCTTGTCCTGCCCCCCTGGTGAGCACTCCAGGTCTCAGCCCCTCCTGCACGTGTGGAGAACCAGAGTCCTGCCTGGAGGAAGGACTGAAGCCGTTACCACCACTTCTCTGCCTCTCGGATGGAAGGCAGCCATGCTCCAGGGGCTTCCAGACACTGAAAGAGGCCCAGCTCCAGAGGTCCCTGGCAGGGGCAGGCAGACTGTCATGACCCTCTGCACTGCACGTGTCCTTTGCCTAGAGTCTGCCAGGCACGCAGATGGACGCCTTTGCCTGAGCGAGCTTGATGAGCGGCCCTTCCTCAACTCACAGGACTGAGCTCCCACTGCCACCCTTCCCTGTGCCTCTGCCAGCCTCTGTCCAACAGCCAGGTCCTGCGCAGGCCTCCCAGAGCCTGGCTGAGGGCCCATGCTGCCTCTGGCTCCTTAATGGGCTGGACGTTGCTTGTGTCTTCTGGCCCCTTAAAGAGCCGAGGTGTTTTATGGAATGAATTGGTCACTGCATCCTGTATGGTTCTGGTTCTGAGAAAAGCAAATATCATTTTTGGCTGCATTAAAAGAAGCATCATATATAAAATAAAAGAGGTGAAGGTCTATTCTTTATTGCCCTGGTGCACATAGCAATGAGACTTTTGGTTCTGGACTGGGAAAGAGGAGTAGCTTTCTAGGCCAATGGGGGAAGCAAGTCCCCAAAGAAGGGTTGCAGAGGTTTCTAGAGGAGCAGGAAGCAGCCAGGGCCAGGGCGGTGGATTTGGGCCTCCATGTGAGGGAGGATTCCAGAGAGAAGGGGTTATCTGAGGGATTTGGGGACACCCTTGTGCTGTGGAGGAAGTGAGAACGGGCTTGCAAGGCCGCAGGGGCACTGACTTGTCAGTGGGCGGTGGTCCACAGGGGATCTGACCCCAGGCTCGGGGTTGGGACTTCCTACCCAGCCCAGACACTGGCTTTGGACATTTCTTCCTGTCTTCAGTGGCAACCAGTTACTCAGGGGCTTCAGCTCCTGTATCAGGCCTTGCACAGCCACTGACCCCCACCCGTGACTCAGTCTCAGAGGTCACTTTGTGTTAGAGCCAGGAGACAGAGTAACATCTACCCACAGGTGACAGCAGTGCTCTTGGTGACCTTAAGATCTGGAAGGGATCAGCAGCTGGTCAGCTAGAGAGGAGAGGCAGTCCCAGGAGCAGGAGGGAAGGAGAAGGTGAGAGGAGGACGGAGGGTGGCTATTGGCTAAGTTTTCTGCAGCTGGGAGCAGCAGGCTGAGTTGACTCATCTGCTCCTCGAGGTTATGGAAAGTGAAATAATTTATAGTTTCATGATAGCCAGTCCATTTAATAGCACTCCTTTATAAGTAGGAACTTTCAAGCTGTGGTACATTTGGAGAGACTGCTGGAGTAGGAAGTTGTTTGGGCAACTTGGATGGGCCTGCCCTATCTGTGAGGGACCACCTGGGTGTTTCCGGGGAATCCAGGAGTAACCAGTCTTGGCAGGAAAAGGTGCCATTGAGAGGCACCTAAAAGGCCAAAATAGTTGTGAGAGATGGTTTAAAACAAGAGGAGGGGTCAGGGTTCCCTCCAGCATCCCACCGAGCATCTAGTTGCACTCAACACCACCACAGGGTACAGATACAGACTTCCACACTGGGCTCCAAAGGACTCTGGGGCGTTCTGGACAATCTCTCCAGGGGGCAGGACAAAGGACAACACATTTGGCAAGCTGGTGTAAGCATCTGGCAGGTTCAGCAGTTCCTCTTTGCTCAGCCCCACACTCTGCAGTCCAAGTGTGGAGCGTGGAGCTTGGAAAGGCCATTTGTTTTCTTTCCGGAAAGGAAGGAGCTGTCCTGCATGGGGATCAACAGCTTGAGGGACAGCCAGGCCTGGGGTGAGGTGGAGAGGAGAGGGAGACCAGAGGAAAGCGCCCAGCTTCACCCCTCCACTTGTCCACTCCTGGGGCTCCCTGGAACAGAGAGTATACCCTCCTCCCAGTCCCAGCTCTGGGACTCTGAAGGAAGACAGGGCCTCTCCAGCCCAAGTCAAGGTCAAAAGATGCCACCATTCCCTCAACCCCCCCAAATAACCTGACCCCTAGCTGGGTGCCCAACGCCCACCTCCACCAGGTCCCAGCAGGGTGATGACCAGAGGCCAGCTCCATCCTGTTCGCCCACCCTCGCAGCTTTCCGCTTTCCTCTTCTCAGATCCTTCCTGACCAAGTGACCAGGTGGACAGGGGCAGGGTGGGGACAGACCCAGGGGTGCGGTGGAGACAAGACCCGGGCTGCTGAGAGCACGGGTACACGTGCGCTCTGCCACCAGGTGCCAGGGCGCAGAAAGCAGATGCACAGCCCTGCGTGTACTCACTGGCACCCCACGCGCGAGGACCTGGCACACGTGGCCACACGCGCACGTGTTGCGCAGCTCCAGCCCCCCTCTCCCCCACTCCCACCGCCACCCCCGCCTCATCACCCTACACGCGGCTCCCCCTGGCACTGCTGCACGCGCGCTCACGCTCACGCACGGACGCACGCGCAGACACATGGGCGCACGGGGTGTGAAGCGAGTCGCGCCGCGGGCAGGCGCGGCTCCTTTATTTGCTTCAAGAAGCGGAAAACTTTCTCAGCGCGACGACCACGAGCGCCAGCACCACGCAAGTGGCCAGCAGGGCAGCGATCACGATGGCCGCGATGGCGCCGGGCCCCAGCGAACCTAGCGAGACAGAGGACCTTGTCACCTCTCGGGCCTCCACCATCAGCCGACCCTCCCCGCCCTCCCCTCCGTTCTACTCTCCCCACACCCACTGCCCCTGCCTGCCGCGGAGCTCTTACCGCCGCCCTGGTCCAGTCGCTCCCGCGCGGTGCTGTCCTCTGGGCCGGGCTCGGAGGTGGGGATGGGCTGACCGGTGGCCGCAGGCTCCTGGCTGGAGCTGGTGCTCTCCACGGGGCCTTCTCCCGAAGGCAGCTCGGCAGGCTCATTCCACAGGGTGGGGTCGGCCTCCTGTGGACCCTCAGCTGCAAGGCCAAGGACATGAGGTGGGACCAAGGTGGCAGGGCCAACAGGGATGTCGCCGCCTTATCTAGGTGAACCAACTGAGGGGTGCCATGTGTGGGACTCAAGCTCACACTACATGAGCTCTCATGTTCCACAGGTGAGACACCTGGAAATTTTACTCCCAAGACCGGAAGTCCAAGTCCCTCCTGCAGCCCTTAGGAAGACAAGGAGAGGGGAAGCAAAGAGACCTAAACGGGCCTCAGAAGCAGACAGCCCTGAGCTGGCAGAGCTTGGGGTAGTGGAAGGATGGACACTGGGCCCAAACCCTAAGACCCTGGCTAGCTGCTTGGCCCCTCCTATCTGTGTGTGCTGTGTGTGCACTTTGTGGAGAGCACCAGCAGCTGGAATCTCCTCCTTGGCCCTAAACCAGACGGCCGTGCAACTGCAGGACAGCTGCCCCAGGCTTCTATGACTGGGAACTGAAGCAGCACATTGCTGCCTGCAGGAGGTGGGGGGTGAAGAGGGGTGGCCAGCTAAGGGGGGCTCCGACACCGCACTCAAGCCAGGACTCAGCACACCAGTCCTGCACACCTATGTGGAAAGAGCCCTGTGCTTGTGGAGTCAGCATATTTGGGGGACCCAGGGAACCCCGAGAGCCGGAAGGAGGTAGCCTCTATCCTGAAAGAATCACAGGGTGGATGAGAGACCACCTGCCCTCAGTCCCAGCCAGCCCTGCTTCCGCCACTGTCAAGGAACCTGGCCCGTGGAGCCCCTCAGCACCACCCAGACAGGAGGCCCAGAAACCCAGGGAGGGTCAAGACCAGGATGATCGCCTTGTAGCCTGACCACCCAACATGGCTGTTTGTTGGATTCAGGGTCTGCCAGTGCCCTCATCTCAACTGTGATGGAAACTGTGACCCAGGAACACTCAGCCCCAAGCAGGTCCCTACAACAGGCTTAGTGGACAGCATGTCCCAACACACTATCACATTAACTCCTGCTGCTTGTGACATGGAGCTGGGCTTGGGGTATCCGAAGCCATGTGTGATACTATAACAGCTCTGCTACCCCAGAAACCTCCAGGGAAGCTTCAGCTGTGGCCAGCTGCACTGCAGGTCCCTGGGGCCCCTTCATGCCTGCAGGCCCTGTCCCTGGATGCTCCCTCCTGAGTGGTCCTATGCTGAGGCAAGCTTGTTCAGAGAAGACACAAAGACCTGACTTCTGGGGTGTTCCTGCTGGGGGGGCCCACCGGGGACAAAGAAGAGCAAACCCGGTCAAACCCGGACTCATGGCCGGTCTCAAAATAACTGGGCCCTTCATAAATGCCATGGCCAGGAAAGACAAAGGAAGGCGAAGGACCTGTCCCAGACAAGTAAATGAAGATATGTTCCTGGACAGGAGAGGGGAGGGGTCTACCGTAAAAGACTTTGGGGTCCACTGGTGAAATCTGGATAGACCTGGGACTTACTCAGAACAATACAACATGCATTTCCTGGTTTTGATGCCACACTCCTGTTGAGTAGGGGAATGTTGTTGCTGCCAGGCTCTGGTGGCTTATGCCTGTTATCCTCACTATCTGGGAGGCAAAGATTAGGAGGACCACAATTCAAAGCTAGCTGGGGCAAATAGTTTGGAGAACCTATCCCGAAAAAGAAAAAAAAAAAAAAACTTCACAAAAGAGGCTGGTAGAATGGTTCAAGTGGTAGAGCGCCTTCCTAGCAAGCATGAGGCCCTGAGTTCAAACTCCGGGACCGCCTCCAACTCCCACAAAAAGAGAATGTCCTCCAGAGTTCAGGGGCAAAGAGGTGTGATGTCTGTAACTTTAAAATAATTCAACAAAAGGGCCAAATCATTTGGGGCTAGGGGAGCATGAGGCAAAATGTGGGTAACTGGCGAATCTAGGTAAAGGCTGCACTAAAGTTCTATTTTTTTTTTTTTTTTTGCAACTTTTCTGTGAACTTACACTACCAGGTCCCTGGCTCCCCAGGCCCAACCCTAGGCTAGGTCAGTTTTGAGGCTCAACTTTGCAGGCAGGGACCACTGTCATAGTCCCCAGGGCTTGTCCAAACTGGAACCCTTTTCAGAAAACACCCCTGGCCCTTAAAAGCCAATGCTGCCCACTCGGGAGCCCTCCCCCTCCTGGGTCCAGTGCTGAATGGGAGTCTTGCTGTCTGGCACCATTCAGGCCAGCCTTCCACCCTGTGAGAGGGGGAAGTGACCCAGCCAGGGAGGACAAGAGTCTGTGGCCTTGAAGCCCCCTTGAAAGACCCCAGGGCCCAGATGGACTGGCCTCTAGTTCCCAGAACTGGAGGCAGTAGGCAGGGGGTGCCTCCTACTTGGCAGGCCCTGAGGTCTGGGGTTTCTAGACTCCCTGTCTGCCCTGAGAAATGGACAAACCACTGGCTCCCTGCTTGCTCACCACACGCCCAAGACAGACAGGCAGGCAGGCACCTCCCTGTCCCACCACTGCTGGTCAAAGCTCACTTCCAGTGTCAGGCATTTGGCCAAGGAGCCATCCCAGGGCTTCTGGATAGCAGGCCCAACCAGTCTGGGTGGTGTCTGCAGCCCAAGCCATGGGTTAAACTTGCCCCCAGCCCACCAGTCAAGGAGGTGCAGCTGCAAGGCGGGGCCCAAGGTGCTTTCTTGTCTTCATCTGCATTGCTCTGTGTTTTCCAAATTTACAGTATAAGAAAAAAACTGGAAAACACCAACATTCCCCCCGCCCCCCCGCCATAGATCCATCCTGGGGAGCCAGGAACAGAAGTGACTGAGCTAGCTTGCCTGCAGGAAGAGGAATAAAGATGACAGATGAGGGAGAGGACGGCGGCAGCAGAGGACAAAGTGTGGAGGGAGGAAGCTAAATGACAGAAAGTAGGATGGGAAAGGCGGAGGCAGATTACCCCAGAGAAGGCTGTCTCTGCCTTGGCCATAGAGGAGGGAGACCCACACTCTGACCAAGGCAAGCAGGGCAGGCGGGGGCCTGGTGGTCCTGCAACAGGCCTGGGCACCCCAGCTGCTCTGCCTTTCGGTAAATAAGTTTATTCAACACTAAGCCTGACCACAGGGCCCCAAGGCCAGGTACCCGTGCTCACAGACGCCTTTGTGCAGCCATGAAGGGCCTTTTCATCCCCAGTCTGGCTTCCTGCCTGCTCAACCTGGCCTGCTCCCCCACCTCAGCGGTGTGGTCACTGGCCCCTGGCAGGGAGGGTGGTAGGCCGCTCCTTCCCCTCCTGCCTGCTTCAGTTCCGAAGCCCAGGAGAAAGAAAGGCAGGAACCTGTGCACACCTGTTCAGAGCTTCTAGCCCAGGGCTGGTTCTGAGAGCCTCCCAGATGCCCTCCCTTCCAGAATAACCAAAATAGCAGCCTGAACCCCTGAGACTCTGAACCAAGATGGCACACCTCTCACCCTACCCTGGGCCTGCCTGCTCTAGGACATGTGGAAGGAAGAGGGAGGTGAGGACAGGTGAGGTCCTGGCTGTCCCCAAAGCACCCTGTAGTGGTGCTTTGCACCCACCCACGTTGTGTATGCACCATCTGACCAGGGCCTCTGGCCAGAGGCTCGGCCTGAAGAGGTGGCAGGGACCTGGACATGAGCCACTAGGAGGCCCACGCTGCAGGGTAGGCAGAAGAAGTGGATTAACCAAGGTGAGGGAGCTCTACAGATGTCACCCAGAGACCTAGGTGATGGAAGATGCCTCCCTGCCCTGTAGGTCACTTCCTCCTATTTTAGGGACACTTCAGGCTTGCTCAGTAGCACTCCTCCCACCACCTCCAGGAGGCTGAGCATTTCTCAGCCTGAGGGAGGAGGTGTTTCTACCCAAGACCCTACTGGGCTTAGTGGAGGGGCTGAGCACACTGAATGCATTATCCCCCAACATTTACTGAGTGCTCCATATGTCTGAGCTGGCGAGGCCTCACAGTCCCCTACAAGGGAGGCAGGGCGTGGGTATCACCTCCTACAGATGAGGAGAGGCTGGGAGATGTTAGAGACAGCCAGGCAGGGACAGAGCCAGAATCTGTCAGGCTACAAACTGCTTCCTAGAGTGTCCATTGGAGGCCAGCAGGCTCACAGGTCACCACCATCACCCATGTGTCCCTGGTGTGTGGTTAGGGGTTCCCAAGAGCTCTCCCCAGGCTGTACTTTTACAACAGGTCGCTTCCCTCCATCATAGATCCACAGACACCCCAAAAGCCCAGGCTGCAGGGCCTTGAAGCACAGGGCATGCTGACTGGCATGCCCTTTGGCAATGGGGGAAGATTGTTTTCTTCCAAGAGTACCGCCTGCCTGTGACAGTCAATGCCGTCTTCCAGGCTCCAATGCCAGCCTGAGCAAGCCCATCCTGTGCAGGGTCCCAGGATCCCACTGGGGACCTCTCAGAACCCAGATGTGGCCACCCGGGCTTCAGTCCAGAGCCTAGGTCCAACATCCTCACTTTGGCAGAGATATCTCAGACCCTATGTCCTCTCTTGAAATTTTTCCTGAAATGGGGATATTCTCTAGGGGAGATGGGTCATCATTGTCTAGGACATTTTGCAGATGCCACCAGGGAAGGGTTTGCAGGTTTGGAATGTAATCAACAGGCTCTGTGCTCATCTATCTAGCAGCCATTTGCTCTGTGTCTGGTCTCCCTCCTGCCTCCCACATCTGGATCATGCAAGATAATTGAATGCTGAAGTAACTCCCATGTCCTCAGACAGCTAAATATCCCTGTCTGCACCCCAGGTGACCTTCCCACTTCAGAAGCCACCATTCCTACCACCAACTGTTCCCTGAGACATCATCCCATGCAGTTCCTACCAGTCGGCTGGTCTCATGGACCTGTTCCCTAGGATCACCCAGACAGCTGTCCCATCTCCCATGAGGGATCTGGGTCCTCGTGATTCTTAGCCCCAGGAAGTTGGTGGCAACAAAGCCAAGGGCCCCTTCCCCTTACCTGTGAGCACCACTGGGGCCAGGACCCCTGAGACAAGCAGCAGCGCCAAGCGCAGGGCCAGACAGGATGCCATCCTGGCCGTTGGTGAGTGTGAGGCAGGACGCAGAGGACTGAGCTGCTGAGAGCAGGCAAAGAGGCTTCAAAGAGCTGGGAAGGGTTTTCATCAATGCAAACTCTGTCCTCCTGGGACACCGTCCTCCCGCCCCCCCCCCCCCGGCACACATGCACACACAAACACACACAGCAAAAGCTCAGAACAGTCCCGCTGTCCTGAACCCAGGAGCAGCTCCACCCTTGGAGAGGGAAAGAGGAAATTGCGCACTCTCTCTCTCTCTCTCTCTCTCTCACACACACACACACACACCTATTCCTGGGCCACTGAAAGTGGGGTTTCTACACTTTGCAATGCAGAAGAGTCCTTCAGGGAATATGGGAAATGTAGACGTCTCTGGCCATGGGGTCGGGGGCTCTTGGGTGGGCGCAGGACCAGGCATAGGAGCCATGGCCCAGGCAGTTGGCAGGAGCTGAGCGCACCTCACATTTGGGTCCTCCATGCCTGACCAGGAGCAGGCACTAGGTAGAGCGTGTTAAAGAAGCACTTTAAAGCAGTAGGATCCAAGCCCTCTGGCTGCTCTGGTCTCTTTCCAGAAAAGCCCACGTCATTCGACACCCACGTCCTTTCTTGCTCTCTGCTCTCCCAGGCCCTCTCCTCTGATCCCAACTTGGAATCCCAACCGGTGCTCCCATCATCACTTTCAGCCCAGGCCAGGCCCACCCCATAGCCTCCCAACAGCTCCATGGGGTAGCTAATGAGCAGCTCAGCTCATCTTGACCAAGTATACCCGGCCTCCACAGCCTCCCACCCCTTCCCCAATGGACTCCTAGTGGTCCTTGCCACCAGTTAAATCATCCCTTACTCCCCACTTCCAAACCCTCAGAAAGTCCTGCTACTTCTCACGCTTCATGGTTTCTCACTGTACTGAGAATAAAAAAGCAAACTAAGGACTTCCCCTGACTCTGCTCACCTCCTGGACCCATGTTCCAGTCCACTGGCTTGACCAGATTCCTTCAACCTTGATCCTGCCTCAGGGCCTTTGCACTTGCTGTCCTTGCTCCCATAAAGTAGTCCCTACACTCATTATCTCATTATTTGGGTACCTTGTTTCTATTCAGGCCTCAGCTTGGTCAGCCCCCTATCTACCCATTACACTTTTTTTTTTTTTTTTTTGTTATAGTGAGGTTTGAGCTGAGGGCTTGCTAGCCCTTGTCCTATCACTTAATTTCTTCTTAGCACTGGTATTTTAATGAAATTATCTTGTCTCTTCTCGTTTCTGCTTTTTTTTTTTGTGGAATAACATATACTAATTGTGTTCAGTCAGCTTTTTATTGCTGTGACAAAATACCTGAGACAACAACTTAAAAGGAGAAAGGATTTATTTTGGCTCAAAGTTTCAGAGGTTTAGTTCTCGTACATTAGGGGCAGGAGTGTGTGACAGAAGAGACTCACCTTATGGCAACAAGAAACAGAGTGAGCAAGGAAGGGTCTGGGTCCCCATGACCTACTTCCTCTAACCAGGCCCCACCTCCTAAATAGATCATACCCTGAAGTCAGTGGCACACTCATGACCCAGTCAACCTCTCAGTAGTGCCACCAGCTAGGAACCAAGCCCTCAATATATGAGCCTTTTTTTTGAGGGGGGCATTTCATACACAAACCATAACACTTAAGAAATGCACAAATCTTGTTTACAAATTGATGAGATTTTGTATTATACAGGCCTATGTAAACACCACCCAAATCAAAAAACATTCCTAGCAAACCTGCAGGACTCTTGGTGACCCTCCCCAGTTGACACCCCCCAAAGTACTCTTCTTTCCATCAATCCCAGTCCCCTGAACCCAGAGCCTCAGTTTTGGCAGGCAAGTGATCTTACTGCTTGAGCTATGCTTCCATCCTCGTTCTGTCACTGTGGATTACAGGCTGTTACCTATTCTGGCTGCTTCCAGGTTGGGCCTTCTGTGAATACAGCGTCTATAAACGCCTCCGTACTTCTTTCTGTGGACTGCACTAATACCTCTGAGCTATGCATCTAAAGCTAGAACCGTGGTGAGGGCAGGCACAAGCTCAGCCTCCGAGATCTCCACGGTTTCCGCAGTGCTTGGCGGGTTTGCACCTCAGCAGCAGTGTGAGCTTCTGGTTGCTCTGCATCCTGAGCACGCGGTGTTGTCAGCCTGTTTGTAGCCATCCTGGTAGATAGGAGTGTTTTAATTTGCCTTTCCACAACTAGTAAGTTGAGTTCCTTTCTGCATTTACTAGCACAGGAATCCATCCTGTTTTGTGAAGTCTTATTTATTTTTTGCCTATATATTGTTAGGATGGCCTATCTTTTAAAATTGTTTTTAGGATGTTTTTGTATATTGTAGATAAAAATCCTTAGACATATACAATGGTGCCTTTAGGTGAAGTCTTTACTATTTATTTGTGCATTTATGTATGTATGTATGTATGTATGTATTTTAGCCTGCACCCTGTGAATTAAGTTCCAGGATAGCAGGGGCTGTTTTTTGTTCACCAGCGCCTCCCAGAACCCAGCACCCTGCCCAGCCCACAGTGGGAACTTCTGGGTTGGATTTCACTTTGGTATTGTTTCACCTGTTCATTCATGTGTGTGCTTGCTTGCTCTCAGCCCCCCATCCTGTGCCTGCAGTGTGATCTCCTGGTACTTTCTTGCCAGCTGACTTCCTGTTAGAATCTGCCAGTGGGGAGCACTGGTAGGAGATGGGAGGGAGTGGGGGAGTAACTCTTTCAGATTTCTGACAGCATCTTGTTCCATGACACAAGATGTCACGGAACAAAAGATCAGGTGATGAAGGCTAGATGTGCAGGCCCCCAGATTCCCCTCAGGCAGCTGTGACACCAGGAACTTTGGTGGACAATGATCTGTACTCCAGCCCAGCCTCATACACATTTCCTAGCTTCAGTTACAAAATTCTGAATAACCTTACCTTCCCTCTTTTGCTCCTTCAGTGCTTAAAACATCATACACCAAATCCCTATGCTAAATCTCTTCTGCTTGCAATACCGAGAGTGGTTTGTTTCCTAGTCAGATCTGACCAAGACAGTCCTTGGCACCTGGAATGGTCCCAGGAAATAGACCTCAGAGATGTGTTTGTGGTTTGATGCCCTGGTTGACCCCGAATGGAGTGAAAACCTCAATGCCAGCCCTTTTTGTTTTACTATTCAGGTAGGGTCTTGTGTTTTTGCCAGGGGTCAGCCTCAGAATAGGATCCTCCTCTACTTGGCTGAGGGTCACCATCCCAGCTTATTGAGATGAGGTCTCACTAACTTTTTGCCTTGGCTGGCCCTCAAACCACAATCCTCCTGATCTCTGCCTCCTAAGTTGTAGACAGAATTATGGGCATGAGCCACCACTCTTTTACCAGGATACTTTTTTTTTTGGCAGAATTGGATTTTGAATTCAGGGCCTGGTGCTTGCTAGACAGGCAGATAAATTTTAACTTTCAATAGTATGTTTGCATATATTATAATAGTAAATAATTTAAATAGACTACTACTACCCACATTTTTTTCTGTGGATTCATGACATACCTTTTTTTTTTTTTCAGTATTTATTTCCAGGCTACATGGATTGTCTACAAGTTTTTTTCAAATTACACAAGTCTCTGAAATGTCCACACCCAAGAGGACTCATGCAGTTCAGAGGTAAACTATATACTGAGGACAATGAGATCCAGGTTTCCCACTGTGGAAAAGGGAGTTTAGATATGGAATGGAGATAAGAGTGGATCTTGTGGTATTGTATTGGAATTGGAGCATCAGCAGGAATTGTAGGTATGCAGAGATATACACAAATATGCAGCCATATAGCTGTATCTGCACATACACACACATATCCCTGCCTCCTCCTCCCCCAGTCTTGTAGAGATAGTCTAGAATCAATGACAACCTGTGGGAATGAACACACCTGGGCCCAGACTTTGGTTTCTAGATGCTATTCCTCACTAAAGGAACCAGAGCTCCTCAAAGAAATAGTTAAGTCCCTATCTAGGAAAGGAAAAGTAAATAATGACCCTAGAATATCCTGAGGCAAAGTAAGGAAATGCTCAAAGAATGATGGAGATAGGACAAAAGGACACAGAGGCTAGCTGCAAATGGAGAGTTTGTGCATGAAAAACACTCTGTGATAATGGTTTAGAGTAAACATGCTTGTGTGTGTGTATGAAAGTATATTTCTATTCCTTATAGGAGAATGTTAACTAGTAAGTGTAAAAAGAATGTTGGCAACATCTTAGAAATAATTGTTCAAGCAGAAGCATCAATGGTGCTAAAACTAGAACAAAATGTTTGATGAGGAGCTAGATATTTACATAGTCTCCCATAAAGGTAAAAAATCATTACAGTGGAGAAACCTGATAGTCATCACCTTGAAAAAGTAGTTAAATAATACCAGAAATGGCTCAAACTGACAGCATGTCTCTAATAAGAAGCACTGAGGACATGGTATCACTTCTGCAGCACGCCTCCAAAATTGCACAATCACCATCAAATCATGAGGAAACACCAAAGCCAAGTTGAGGACATTCTCAAAATATCATTTCCTGTACCCTAAAAAAAAAAAAAAGAATCAAGGTATGAAAGACAGATTGGGCTGGGTGCTATTGGCTCATGCCTGTAATCCTGGCTACTCAGGAGGCAGAGATCAGGAGGATCTCAGTTCAAAGCCAGCCTGTGCAAATAGTTCACAAGACCCTATCTTGAGGAACAACAACAACAAAAAACTTCCCAAAAAAGGGCTGGTAGAGTTGCTCAAACTATAGGCCCTGAGTTCAAACTCCAGCACTGCAAAACAACAACAGAAAAATAGATTGGGGAATGGCTTCACAGTGGAGGACACTCAACATGCCAACTCCATGCACATGTAGGTGACATCCTACACCTTTTGTTTTCCTTATGAAAGACAGCAGTGAAACAACTGCTAAAAGATGAATGAGGCACGGTGTTGATAGGATCGAACCTTTAGTTTCCTAATTTTGACAATGTACTAGTTATACAAGAGAATGCCTTGTTTTGAGGAAACACCTGAAGTGTTC